CGCCAGCCAGGACTTTGAGGTGCTGACAAAGTCTGCATCATCCGCATATACAAGTTCGAGCGGCAGACCGTTGTCGCTGAGAGGTCTTGCTGGCACCTCTTGCCTTAGTTGTCGGAGCGCAGCCTCCAGGTAAATCGTGAAGAGAACGGGGGAAAGGCAATCTCCCTCTGGCGTCCCCTTCGTTGTAGCAAATGATTCCGACTGGCACCTCCCAAGCCGAACACGAAGTCTGGTGCTAGAGATCAAGACCCTGATCAAGCGAACGTCATCGTCACTCAGAAACGCCTCCAGAACAGTCAGCAAGGTGTCTCGCTTGATCGTGTCAAAAGCCTTCGACAGATCAATGCCCAGCAGGTGAACGGTGCTGTGGTAGCGCTGGGTCTTTGCCACAAGCCTTCGATGCGCCCATACCACATCCGCGGTGGATCGGCCAGGGCGGAAGCCGCTGTGCGTCTGGGCTAGGTACTGGTCAACCTTGAGTCTGACTCGAGCTAAAGTGAGGAGTGACAGGGTCTTCCGCAGCGTGCTGAGACGAACTATCGGACGTAAATTTGATGGTGGTCCCAGCGGCTTGTTGGGTTTCTGAAGTGGGATCAGACTGCCACTGCCTATATCAACCACCTCGTGTTGCTCAAACATGCCGTTGAAAATGCTGGTCAACACAGGAGCCAAAGCATCACTTGCATACTTCATCAGTTCTGTGGGGATACTGTCGTCTCCTGCGGCACGGCCATTGTTCAGTTTCCCGAGACAGCCTGCAATCTCTGAAGATAAAATGGGAGTTTGCAGAGGACGTGGCTGTCCCTGGAACGGTGAGATGTCTGTGGCGCTTGGTGGGCTGAACTGACTTGAGAAATGGCTTCCAATTGCCTCAGCTGCTTCCTTCTCGTTTACTATGATTTTTCCGGTGTTTTCAGCAACTGTAGGCTTCACAGCTCCACGTCTGCGCATTAACTGAACAGCTTTGAACATTCGAGCACCGTCCCGCAACTTCTCCACCTCCTTTGCCTTTTCGTCCAGCCGTAATTCTGCTTTCTTCAGCGCTGTTCTTCTGATGCTGTGAAGAATGCGGTTGCGTTCCTTCTTCAGGCTTGTCCGAGTACCGGTGTTGGTGATATTTTCGATACGAAATTTTAATTCTTTTTGAGCCTGAGACAGTCGGCGCAGTTCAGGCCGTACTTCACACCACGCTTTGTCCGGGCCTCTAGACCTAGCGATTTCTCTGCAGCATTCTTTATCGCCGATGCTGTTTTCTGCCACAGCAATGCCGGTCCCCGTCCTCCGTATCCACAGCAGACCCGTCATCTGCCGACTCTGCGACGATAGTATTAGCGTATTTCTCCCGGACCCGTGGGCTTGTCGGCAGATCACTTGTGTTGTATCGAAGTGGCTTCAGGGAGGTTTTCTCGTCTGACCTATGATGCCCGAATATTCCATACATCCGATTGAGGAGGAACCTCGCCACCACCAGGCGATGGTCTGTTGATGTTTCGCATCCTCCATAGCTGCGGGAGTCCGTCAGCAGGCGTTTCCGGTTTTGATGACATGCAATGTAATCGATTTGGTTGTAAATCGGGACAGTATCACCCGTCTACTGATCCCTCCGCCAACCCGTCCAGGTTGGCTAATAGCCACCCAAAAGTGCATTCGTTCCCATGCCTCACAGCTACTGTACATTTGTATACATTGTCATGCCTAGGTATAATTGTATGTCACTGTACCGATGTCAGGTTTCATACAAACCTTATGTTAGATAGGAATACATACATTATGACATGCACATGTACTTGACTTGTTACACCAGCCTCACCTTCTATCCTCTTTTACATGCACCACTAATACTATACAATGCGCTGTATTCATGTATTGTTCCCACACACTTTCGAGGTTGACCTTAGATAGCACACTGGAGACCTTTTGATGCATTTCACTTTAAGCCACCCTTTTAGTTATCTACACTAATAGCTGTACATACATGTACATCCTAATTCCCCTTTCAACAGTTGTCCTCCTGGTATTATTGCACACCTACAAGTACATGTATACGATGTATTGTACACCCTTCTATTCAGTTCTTCCTCTACAACGTATTCCTCTTGCACAGGTGCCATGTCCCGACCTTTCCCATTCTTCTGCCCACACAATCATGTACCTCGTAGTTTGACCTTTCTTCTTACTTCTCTCTGCTCTACGTATCCCCTGACCATAGGCTAGCTTACTTACTCACCCTATAAAAGCTGCTGCCTTTCTAGTTTCCTACGGGATTAGTTTCTTGCCGATTAAGACCAGCTCTCCGCAGATCAGTTCCCTGTGGATTAGTTTCATGCTAGACTACAGTGTATTACCTGAGAACTCTTTCTCTCTCTCTAATTCTGTATGATAACCATTATCCATTAATGTAACCGCTTCCTCTACCGACTGAGTGAAACCGGGACTTAACACTTATGGCGGGCATTTCCTCGAATTCTGCTCCATTTCTTTATCCACACACCAAACATGCATGAAACTTACCAGAAAAGTACCGAATTCTGCCAATATTTCTGCCGGCAGAATCCGCTGGACCCTTACACAAGGAGGAAAAGCGGAGAGGGCTCAACACTCAACTGATAACGTGGATCACTACATTGTAGTATTAAAATAACTGATAACGTGGACCACTACATTGTAGTATTAAAATAACTGATAACGTGGACCACTACATTGTAGTGTTACAATAACTGATAACGTGGACCACTACATTGTAGTATTAAAATAACTGATAACGTGGACCACTACATTGTAGTATTAAAATAACTGATAACGTGGACCACTACATTGTAGTATTAAAATAACTGATAACGTGGACCACTACATTGTAGTGTTACAATAACTGATAACGTGGACCACTACATTGTAGTATTAAAATAACTGATAACGTGGACCACTACATTGTAGTATTAAAATAACTGATAACGTGGACCACTACATTGTAGTGTTACAATAACTGATAACGTGGACCACTACATTGTAGTATTAAAATAACTGATAACGTGGACCACTACATTGTAGTATTAAAATAACTGATAACGTGGACCACTACATTGTAGTGTTACAATAACTGATAACGTGGACCACTACATTGTAGTATTAAAATAACTGATAACGTGGACCACTACATTGTAGTATTAAAATAACTGATAACGTGGACCACTACATTGTAGTATTTATACACACAAAAGGCACAACAGAGGTTTACAGAGTTTGTCGCTCGAGCAACAAGCTCTTTAAACCTCTGTTGTGCCTTATTGTGTTGTACAATGATTATTTTACCGGACTGCTTGCTCCAACTATGCATGCAGCTTCAGTCATTCAGGTCCCAGATTCCCTAACTCTGACACTTGCTGAGTGCAGCACGTGCTCGCATTGGCTGGACCCCAGCAGACATGCAGCCAAGAAAAAACAGTTTAGTGACAAGGAATGAAAGGCATGTGCAGACATACCGGTAGTGTAATGATTCTTTTTAATTATTTATGTCCCCGGAGGAGGAGTCACTAAATTATGTGCTGCATGGTAGATGTACTACTAACATGTAGTACGGTACTCGCACGATTACTGGCCCTGGAGCACTATTTTTTCAATATCCATCACAGATGGGGCAGTATTCAAGAGAGGGCACTATTCAAGAGAGGGCACTATTAATTTTTTTCATTGCTGGTACATTTGCATCATCCAGCAGAAAACAAAAAGTAACAGAGCGACTCAGCCTAAAGTGTACTGTAAACGCTCACGACTCCACAGAAACGGGAACAAGACCTGCAATTTTGTCCCTGAAAACACCACTGCGAAGCAATAGTATAGTATAATATTTATCCATATTTCTCTAGGGCAGTCCTCACAGACCTATGGTCTCCTTACGGGTACCCTAACCAATCTAGGATTGCGATACGAAATTGACTTGGTGAAGCAGCGAGGCGGACCGATGCCGGAACTGAGTTTCAGCGGTCAGCGGCTAAAATACGAAAGAGAGGAATGCAGTAACCAAATCGAGAGGAGGCTCGTGGCAGTACAATTCCAATCGAGACTTGAGACCTTGTGCAGGTGCGGCTACGTGAATTGGCACGAAGGCAGAAAAGGCGGCACAGAAGTGAGCCGGCAGAAGAATGAACGCATCAATGGCCAAGAACATTAGCAAAAGAACACCAAATTAACTTGCACATGGGCTAGGGTACAAGACCGGTTGGGGGGGGGGGGGGCACTACTAATCGCGCGAGTACGGGTACTTGTAGTAGTAGATTCTATAGTACTAGTAGCAGTAGCTCGGCGCATGACATTACGTCATTATCATGATTGGTGCGAGATACTGCACAGAACGAACAAGATTTTGAAGTCCGGCGGCCGGAGCAGTACTAGTAGTAGGCATAGCAGATCTACGTATATATAGTAGAACTCCGGCATCGGAAGCCTTGATTCCAGTCATCCCAGAGCACGTGCTCGCATTGGCTTGACCCTAGCACAGTAAAGTAGCAGACATCATGCCATCATGCCATCATGGGCATGGACATGATGGAGGATGATCATGGTCCATGGAGCCAAGAAAAGACAGTACAGTGTAGTTACCATGGTTACAGTGACAAGCACAAGTCTGCATCGGATGAAGGCCGCCTGCTGCCCCCGAAGGAGGCAAATATTTTTTAGGGCTTTGTTATGTCATCGTATGTATTTGTGCAGGCGTTGTGGCCGGATTCCTGAACTATGATACCATGGTTACGTAGTATGTATTAGTAGCGCGCGTATTAATAGTAGTAGCCTTTGCACTGACTCAGAAGGAGGACTAGCTCGGCGCATGCCATGACCATGAATGACCCTCCGAGATCATGCGAGATACCGGGCACCGCACAGAAAGAACAGGATTTGAAGCCAGCCGGCGCAGAAGACATGGGAGATCTACGTAGATCTGCGGCATCGTAAGATCCCAGTCATCCCAGAACAAAAGGCTTCGCCTGCGAAGCTCCACCTACTACTAGCAGTCAGATACCGACCGTATAGTAAGACCAACATCGAAATTTTTTTTTATCATCTACCCGCCGAGTTGGTGAGGGACGAAGGCGTCCTGGATTTGTTTGTTCTTTTTCTTACCACTGGAAACGGACTGTCTGAAGTGTGACTATCGTAGACAAAGTCGTTCAAGATGAATCGCGACGCTCAGGCGTTGCTGGATGACCTAGGGCTAACACACCAGCATATCACGTTCCTAGGTGACGTTCAGGTGAGAGACGAAGACGAAATCGGCAGAGGATCGGATGCCGTTGTCTACAAGGTCAACTGGCAAGGTATCGATATCGCTCTCAAAGTTTTGCACCCCGTGTTGGTTGAGCCAGGTGTACAGGATAGAGAGCGTAAGCTCAGAGCGTTTGGCCAAGAGTTGTTTCGTCTTAGCAGGGTGCATCACCCGAATCTGTGTCAACTGATAGGATTAGCTCGGGTAAGGGGGAATGCTGCGTTGGCCCTGGAGTTATTGTCGGCGTCTCTAGAAGACGTTAGCATTGGAGATGGCAGAGAAGATGCTCCTAAGCTCGTGTCGTATCTCTGCGACGCAAGTGCAGGACTTCGCTATCTGCATTCATTCGAAATTATTCACCGCGATCTAGCGCCCAAGAATGTGCTTGTGAAAAATGGCACGGCCAAAGTCAGTGACTTCGGCGGTGCTAAATTTGTGCGCTTGACCTCACCTCGACAACAACAGCACCAAGTCCAATCGGCAATGGAGATGACTCGCTGCCCAGGTACACTGCCATTCATGGCACCTGAGGCGTTGAGTGAGGCTCCGGATTACAACCGTCCCTTGGACGTGTTTTCGCTAGGTGTAATGATGCTGAGCGTTCTGACAGGAGTTATGCCTGGCATCGAGTTGATGACAGCGCCACATTTCATCGTCGTGCGAGAACGTGGCCAACAAATTGAAGAAGTGATTCCGGAGACAACACGCAGAGCACGCTACCTAGCACGTTTGCCAGATGAACATCCATTGAAGCCATTGATACGTCGCTGCCTCTCTAACCGTCCTGGGGACCGACCGTCAGCCGAGCAAGCGCACGAAGAGATCAAACGTTTCCTGGCCATGTTCAGCAGTATTTTGCCGGTGAGCAATTATTTGTTGTCTGTGTTGAAACGTGATCTTGTAGACTTTTATTTCATGAGTACATGATTGTGTACTAGTATGAACTGCAAAGAAACAGTCCAATCCTCACGAATAATAATATTATTGTTTTTTACCTACCCATTCACTGTCAGAGTGTATGCTAGGTAAAATGAACGCAGCAAACTTCAGGGCTCACCACGACCGTACAAAGCGTCAATAACGGTCATTTGGATTTTTGACCAATCAGCGCACGGCAAAACGGGCTGTTTCTTGCAATTGTGGGGTGTTTTCTGAGTGGAGCTTGGCTGTATTCGTTGGTTTTAGACATTAGGCCATTGTGGATTCGTTTTCAGAAGGTGTGTCTTTGGAGGGTTACCGTCTCGAATTTTTTTAATTTGTCTCGAATTTTTCGATCCGGGACGGTAAACCGATAGAGAATTCCAAGACATTGAAAATGAGCTATCGATGGTGAGAATCGGCCAAGGATAACCGCTGTTCTACTTTTTTGAAGACATCAAGGTCGGCCGTGCGTCGCCGCGCGCACCAACAAAAACTGGCAGCCGTGCGCATATGTGCAAGTGCAACAAGAAAGGACGGAGGAGACAGCAAGCGTTCCAAGTGAAGAGTTTACCTTCGTGTTGATTCAAGGTAAGGACTCATGCCAGTCAGGGATCATACCAGTCATCTCTCATCATGGTCATGGCTAAGGGATTCATTTGTGGCCAGGAAACTCCCCACTTGCAGCGTGAAAGCTGCGAGGCCAAACAGAAAAGAGTGTGCCGAGTCGCGATCAGGAAATGCTGAGTTCCACTGACAACATTGGTTAGCTAGGCGCGGCAAATTCTTGTAGATGCCAGGACTCAAGTTCACCAGTACCTCACGGACATATCTTGGTCGACACCCACCAGCGGATTGAGAAAAATAACCAAGATGACCAATATGGTTTGGAGAAAGGACGTCTTCTCCGCGTGTCTTTCCCGACATCAAACAACAAGATTCGCTTCGGCACTGGTCCTTCGCTGTACAGAGTAGACCAGGGAGTCGTAAAATACCGGTATTTTACGACTAGACTGTATATCGCTGTACATCGATCAGCATGAACTCGGGTGCATAGCCGCTATGACTGCACAAACTCTGGCCTTGGCGGCATCGCCATGTTTTCAAAATGGTGGTCGACGCTGTTTGAATTTTGTATGGTCGTGGTGAGCCCTGAACTTGAAAGTCTTCATGCAGTAGGCATGGTTAGCATTTTACCGTTCACGCTTTTTTCGACGGTCGCCTGTACTGCTGTTTTTTGTGTGTGTAGACATGGCATTTTACCGTTCACGCGCTAGATCCAACGGTACTCGTACCCAACACCCAAAATACCGTCAGTTTCGCACTGTTTTGACGATAGAAAGCTCTGTTTATCGGGAGAACGAAACGGTAAGATTCCAACTGGGGTTGCGTCACTTGTCGATCGTTGCGTCAGGAGTCAGGACTCAGAAGCCGAACTGCTACCGTGTCTCGAAAACACGCGAAAGAACAGTAGACTCGCCCTCTACACGCCGACTGTCGAAAATAGCATGAACGGTAAAATGCTTACCATGTCTAGTGTATGAATTGTGTTGCTGTTACTGATGTATTGTACTTGACACGCCACTTTAAGAGCGTCCAAACACACATTGATGTACATTGAGTTTCTTGCAGAATGTCTGCCTGTGTGTGTATCTGTCTCTCTATCCGCTTACCTATTTTGCCTCTATGCATTTCTTTCTGTCGTCTGTCCCTCCGTTTGTCCCTCCGTCTGTCCCTCCATCTGTCTGTCCCTCTGTCTGCTATGTGTTTTTGATGGTGTTGTGCAGAGTCAGCCTGGCACTGCTGGTGCAGGGGTTACCAGGCAACTAGAGTCGATTTCCCAGCAGCTAAGCCAGCAAGCTACTTGCATTGCTGACATCACCGCACGCAGCTCTGCATTAGAGAACCAACTCAGCACCATAACACAGCGTCTTGTCGACAATCAGCTGGAAACCAACGCTATCCGTGGCCAACTGCAGACTACGAACCAGCAAGTGACTGGGATCCGTGGCCAACTGCAGACTACGAACCAGCAAGTCACTGTTGTCCGTGACTGCGTTGAGACTACGAGCCAACAAGTGACCGGGATCCATAACCGCCTGGGACACACGAGCCAGCGCGTGTCTGGAATATGCGAGCAGCTGCAGACTACGAGCCAGCAAGTGACCGGTATCCGTGGCCAACTGCAGACTACGAACCAGCAAGTGACTGGGATCCGTGGCCAACTGGAGACTACGAACCAGCAAGTCACTGTTGTCCGTGACTGTGTTGAGACTACGAGCCAACAAGTGACCGGGATCCATAACCGCCTGGGACACACGAGCCAGCGCGTGTCTGGAATATGCGAGCAGCTGCAGACTACGAGCCAGCAAGTGACCGGTATCCGTGGCCAACTGCAGACTACGAGCGAGCAAGTGACTGGGATCCATGACCGGCAGGAGACTATGCACCAACAAGTGACTGGGATCCATGACCAACAGGAGACTACGCACCAACAAGTGACTGGGATCCGTGACCGACTGGAGACTACTCACCAACAAGTGACTGGGATCCATGACCGACAGGAGACTACGCACCAACAAGTGACTGGGATCCTTAACCAACAGGTGACTACGAACCAGCATGTGACTGAGATCTGTGACCGACTGGAGACTACGACCGAACAAGTCACCAGTCTTCAAGGACATGTAGCAGGAGTTGCCAGTCAACAGACAGACCTACAGGCATCCATCAGTGAGCAGATAGATGAGACCAACAGACGTGTAAATGATCAGCTATCACAACTTCACTCCACAGTACAGGTAAGAATGTGTGAAGGCTATTGACTGCCGTCTGTTTTTTAACTCTTTTAAGTTATGACTCAAATGTGTGTGAAAGGAAGTGAAACATGAACATACATTGATTTGAGCAATTTTAATTTACATATGAAGCACCAATGCTTTTTCTCTGAAAGCACATACATCTGCGTTCATGACTATTATTAGGACACTACCTTCAACGGTATGCCATGTATAGGAGATTGCGAAGAATTGTTATGAGTGTTCCCAAGAATAATGGTTCTCTACTCCACAAGCAACTCATCCTGATCACAAAATTAAAACCTTCTGCCATTGCAATACATTACTTGAGGAGAGTATGCTGATCAGTTTCAATACCAGAACAAGGATGTTTCTACATTTGCAGATCATGCAAACTTGCATGAACCCCAGTGGTGGAGATGTTGACAATGTTGATTCTTTCTCACACTTCACATCAGCCATAACTAGTGCAGGGTTGGCTGCGGACAGCCATATTGCACACCCCACAGCCGACTGTCAGCTCTTACTCTGTGTGTGTGTGTGTGTGTGTATGTGTGTGTGTGTGTGTGTGTGTGTGTGTGTGTGTGTGTGTGTGTGTGTGTGTGTGTGTGTGTGTGTGTGCGTGTGCGTGTGTGGATGTAAATGTGTGTGTCTGCTTATGCTGTTCTATACATTCCAGGCTCAGGGAAGTGGCACTGCCTCTGGAGGGTCAGCAATGACCAGTGCTAGCAGAGGACAGACTTCTAGTGCGGCAACCGGAGCCACTAGGGCCACTCCAGTTTCTAGCGTAAGCAGATCTTGCTCACCCAATCTTGATCGGTGTTGGCAGAATACCACTGGTAATGTGTAAAATGCAAAAGTCATGCTTCGCCTCATCCTGCCCAGTGGGAAAAGAGATAAAAATGTAAATAAAAATCTGGTCCAGAGCTTGCTACTGTCGATGTTTGCAATCACTGGAGAGTGCATACGGGCATGAACTGATTTCCACAGATCTCTGTGTTTATCGACTCCCTTGTGTGTGATTCACAAACCGGAAATTAAAGATACTGGCTGGATTTGATCCATAAGAAATGTACACTACGCCAAGAGAGAGATAGAGATAGATAGAGAGCATGCTATTTAAAAACAGATATCTGGGCTGTATGATAGAGATATAGGAGAATATAGGTAAAACAGGTTTCTGGCCTGTGTCTATTACCATAATTCATGTAGAGTGTAGCAGTTCACACACATCTGTCCATGAATGGATACTCTCCGATGATTTTGACCAATGTTGGTAGTAGAGTATTGAAGCCGACATGATGCATCGTATTGCAGGTGCTAGAAAGTTGCAGAGTGTGTTGTCCGTTGAGGCAAGCCAACAATGCCCAGAATGGCTTCAGCTGACTGGGCCCTCCAAGTCGTTGTGTGTTTCGGAACCTGGTTGAGTGGCCATCGCACAGCTTGAAGAGTGCTTCTCAGTGTGGGACTGGTACGGCCATGAAGGCAGCGCCACATGAGCGACAGTACCTTCTGAACATGTAGCTTACGGATCCCGTAGACTGACATACGTTCTAGCAGGTCATGTGCTGCTTCAAAGTGCAGTTGACCAAAGAGTGCCTTTTCACCTCAGTTCTGCACAATTTGCCGACGATGAAGACCGGTTTGGGTCAGGGCTGTGCTGTAGGTGCTGCAGCCGTAGAGAAATATACAAGCAGAATGATACTCCGGAATTAGCCGATTCTGCTCTGCAACGTGAGACTATGTCTTGCTCTCCAAAGACAGGCAATCATTTGGGGGGGGGGGGAGGGGGGTGTAGGTGTGTTTTGGGAGAGGAGAGAGGAAGGAGGTGGGAGTGGGGGGGGGGGGGGATTGAATGGTGGTTCTGGGGTGGTATTTGCGTTGGTGAGCAGGCATGTGAATGTATGGATAGATTTACCATCACTGTGGATAAGAGTCATACTGTAGCTCAGTTGGTTAGAGCATTGCTCGCGAATAGCAAGGTCTCTGGTTCGGGTCCCGGTGGTGTGACGATGATTTTTTTCTTTATCTGGCTTGCAAGTGTTGAGTTTCGGAGAGAAAAGAGCAGTACGAAGCATGTGGCCTCTAATTTTCCAATAATACAAGTAATAATAATACTGATCCATTGAATAATAATAATGACCCGGGATGCTGCATAATACAAACACAAAACCAATAAAGCCACCCCCATAATAATTATTGGATGAAGGAAAAGCCATTCTTCATTCTGGTTGACGAGTCCGCTGACATATCCGTGATGGAGCAAGTGGCATTCGCTGTCCGTATTTGCCGCAACGAGACGAAAACGTACCACTATGTAACCAAGACGGTCAGCGCCCCGAATGCCAACAACATCTTCAGTGCGCTAGCTGAGGCATTTACGGAAGATGCCATACCGTGGGACAACGTGCTGTGCTTCTGCAGCGACGGGGCTAACGTCATGAGAGGCAGCAAAAACTCTGTAGCTGTAGTTGCTACAAATTCGTATACTTCATATTGGTGTACTGAAGTATGATGTATGTGCCTGGAATAGAATAAAGCAGCAAGTGTTACTGTAGAACGTTGCTACAAGACTACGGTTGCTGCATAATTGACATGGTTGTAGTGCGTGCGCTGGACAGTTAAAAATGTGTTCTGGGGCCCCAACAGCAAGCCATTTTCATTAAAAAAATTCACCAAAGCGGGGGCGCTGCCCCGTGCACCCCCGCCGGGGGATACCCCGGGACCCCCATCAGAGTTTTCTCCCTCCATCACTGATAATAGCACATTTCGCGTAGTGAAGCACTAAATAAAGAAATTCAGTGTTTTTTCCGCTTCTGTCTTGTGAGCATCACCAGCAAAGTGTAGTAGTTGCTGATACTGATTTCTCCTCAGGTGTCGAGCTGCACAGTTTCTTCCAGTCTGTCTTGTCCGCTGCTTGTTGTCGGCACCTGGAAAGGTCTTCCATGGTCTTCATTGGCACACCCAGCTTATTCAGCTGAGCGACCAGACTTGTGGCCAGTGTCAACCTTGGCCGTCCACGAGGTGCTTTGTTGCCCTTGTGAAAATAGCCGCTCATGGCTACTTGCGGTGGCGTGTCCGTGTCCATCCGTAGCACATTACCGGTCATTCGTAGTCGCCTACATGCGACTGTGTCTGATATAGGGTTGCTCTTGGTTCTGCGGTATAGGTCGTCGTTTGAGATTGTGTCTGGGTATCGTACTCCAAGTAATGATCGCATTTGACGCCGGTGGAATGCGTCTGCCTTGGCCATTGCTGTTGACGATAATCCCCAGGTCTCGCAATGGTACAGGAATGGCGGCAGTACGGTAGATAGCGATAAGGAGATATGGCTGAGCAAAATCTTGTTTCGTATTCACCAGCTATTATTCTTCACTCCCAGTACAGTGACTGGTTGGAAAACAATATACTGTAGAGGGAAATTTTGATATGGTAGTCAATGAGCAAGCTTGTATTGGTCACAGGTGTCTGCGTGTGTTTGTGTATGCACGTGCTGGTTGGTGGGTAGGCGTGGTTGTGTGTGAGTGTGTTAGTGGGTGTGGAGTTTTTCCATGAAGATACACCTACTCATAACAAGAGGGGAGTGATGTAGCAGGACAACACAGCAATGTGAAGAGTAGGGGCTTCCAGAAAGAACCTGTGCTTGTGAGGCAAGCCAACAACGCCAACCTGTGGTCTCCGTGTTACAGCAAGGTTGCGCAAAATGAGAGTTTACAGGTAGAGGAGTGAAGAAAACATGGAGAATGGATTGTTGTGAAGGAGACGACACAATGGAGCTAGAGGGGACTATTGTGAAAAGATGGCAGGGCAAAGATCTGTGGATGATCTGGGGTAGAGGATAGGAGCACTTAAATGCCAAGGAGAGTATGCATCCGGATATTTATTCCTAGAGAGAGTCAGTGGCCCAAAGCCAATGGCTACGGCGAAGTTAGTGATGAACACTTTCCTTGAAAGCTTGGAAGCTCTTGAGTAATGGCAATTTGGTGAATGGAGAAGCCGGGAGCGTGATCCTGGTGTCAATGATGCTGAAGGCAATTATGAGCAGTTGAGGGAGAGTGTTCGTAAATCGTACGGGTGACCATCGGTTTGTCGATACTTTGAGCTAAGGGCTTAGCAGGGGCATTGAGGCGATGTTAAGTGATGAGTACAGGGAACCTGGTAGGCACAGCAGCTTGTTCAGGAATGACAATGCTGCCACTGTCCACCTCGATGCTCTGCAGCAGCACGCTGGGCTCCAGAATGGGCAGGGCCCATCGCTGAACGCGCCTGAGGTGCTCGAGGTTGGTGAGAGCAGCTCCCATCCAGGAATGGGTAACATTCTCGAAAAGTGGTCTTACGAAGCCACGGAATACGGCAAGCTTGCATGAACTGTTCACGACTTGAGCTGCGTTTCACATCAGTCCAATGTGTGAGTACACCCTGACTCAACTGTCCGAAGATGGGTGCCAAAGCTGAGCACTGGGTCAAGTGGCATCAGGCCCACTCCAGCTTCTAGTGTAAGGAGATATTGCTGAACAACAGTCATATTGATTGGAATTCACCAGCTACTATACTAGACCTCCAGTACGGTCACTGGTTGGAAATACCAATATACTGTAGAAGGGAAAATAGCATGGTATTCAATGGGCAAGCCTGGATTAGTCACATTTGCATGCGTGTGTTCGCGTATTCGTGTGCTGGTTTGTGAGTTTGTGTGGGTGTATTTAGATGTGTTTGTTGGTATTTGGGTTGGTGTAAGCACTTGTGTGAGGTTTTGTCTTCATATGTTTCTCTGTGCTTTTCTCCGTCAAGGAAGGGGCAGTGACAATGGATGTGCATGTGTGTTGTTCGCATATGCAAATGTGCATGTGGATGCCTATGCTGTGTGTTGTGTGCATGGGTGGGTGTGTATGTGTATATGCTTATGTTGTTCTGTACTTTTCAGGCTCAAGGAGGTGGCAGTGTCTCTGCATGGCCAGCAGTGGCCAGTGCTAGCGAAAGACACACTTCTGGAGGGGAACATGAAGCCACCAGAACCACACCAGTTTCTAGTGTAAGGAGATATCGCTGAACAAAAATTCATGTTGTTTGCTATTCACCAGCTATTATACTAGATTCCCAGTTGCGTCGATGGGTGGAAAAACCAATATACATGTACTGTAGAGGGAAAAATAGCATGGTAGTCAATAAGCAAGCCTGAATTAGTCACACATGTGTATGTGTGTTCGCGTATGCACGTTCTGGTTGGTCTGATTGTGGGTGTTGGTTGGTCTGATTGTGGGTGTTGGTTGGTGTGTTTGTGGGTGTTGGTTGTGTGGAAACACATGTGTGTGTTTGTATCTTCATATTTTCTCTCAGTGCTTTTTACCGTCAATGAAGTGGCAATGACAATGGACGTGCATGTGTGTTGTTCGCATATGCAAATGTGCATGTGGATGCGTGTGCTGTGTGTTGTGTGCATGGGTGTGTGTGTGTATGTGTATATGTTTATGTTCTTCTCAATCTGCGGACAGCAAGCTGTTTCGTTCTTTTTGAACTCATCAGCGCAGCACAGAGGAAATGTTTATGTTCTTCTGTACTTTACAGGCTCAGGGAAGTGGCAGTGACTCTGGATGGTCAGCAATGGCCAGTGCTAGCGGAAGACAGACTTTTAGTCCAGAAAGCAGAGCCACCAGGACCACTCTAGCTCCTAGTGTAAGGACATATGGCTGAGTAAAATCTTGTTTGGTATTCACCAGCTATTGTTCTTCACTCCCAGTACAGTGACTGGTTGGGAAAAACAATGTACTGTAGAGGGAAATTGTTATATGGTAGTCAATGAGCAAGCCTGTATTGGTCACAGGTGTCTGCATATTTTTGTGTATGGACATGCTGGTTGGTGGGTAGGCGTGGTTGTGTGTGAGTGTGTTAGTGGGTGTGGAGTTTTTCCATGAAGACACAACCTACTCGTAAGAAGAGGGGAGAGATGTAGCAGGATAACACAGCAATGTGAAGAGTAGGGGCTTCCAGAAATAACCTGTGCTTGTGAGGCAAGCCAACAATGCCAACCTGTGGTCTCGGAGTTACAGCGAGGTTGCGCACAATGAGAGTTTACGTGTAGAGGAGTGAAGACAACATGGATAGTGGATTATTGTGAAGGAGAAGACAGCATGGAGCTAGAGGGGACTGTTGTTAAGGGTGTGGATGGGAGGGCAAAGAGGTGTAGATGATCAGGGCTGGAGGACAGGAGCACTGAAATGCCAGAGGGGGAGAATGCATCCTGATATTTGTTCCTAGAGGGAGTCAGTGTCCCAAAGTCAATGGCTACGGCGAAGATAGTGGTGCACACTTTCCTTGAAATATTGGAGGCTCTTGAGTAATGGCTATTAAAATAGTGAATAGAGAAGCCGGGAGCTTGTTCCTGGTGTCAATGATATTGGACGATTATGTTCGCTGAAAGCAATTGGGAGTAGTTGAGGGAGAGTGTTCGTAAATCATACGGGTTACCATCGGTTTGCCGACATTGCCTATTAATAAAGGACTTAGCAGGGGCGTTGATTCGATGATGAATCATGAGTAGAGGGGACCTGGCTGGCGCAGCAGCTTGTGCAGGAATGACAATGCTGCCACTGTCCGCCTTGCCTCGAGGCTCTTTAGCAGCACGCTGGGCCCCAGAATAGGCAGGGCCCATCGCTGAACGCGCCTGAGGTGCTCGAGGTTGGTGAGAGCAGCTCCCATCCAGGAACAGGTAACATACTCGAAAAGTGATCTTACCAAGCCACGGAATACGACAAGCTTGCATGGACTGTTAAGGATTCGAGCTGCGTTTCACAGCAGTGCAATTTGCGAGTTTGCCCCGCTGAACTGTCCGAAGATGGGTGCCAAAGCTGAGCACGAAGTCAAGTGTGATGCCCAGAAGCTTCAGTTGTTGCTGCTGATGGATAGCATCACCACCAAACATTGGAGCAGATGAGGGCCATGGCTGCAGATGGCTCAAATTTCACTCGCCACTTTAATCCCAAGGCATACAGGTTATGTAAGCTTGCAGGTTCTTCGCTTGGTTCATGGCGTCTGCACATGTTTGTATATAAGGGTACAGAGTGATGTCGTTGGCCAAACACTTTCCCTTGTCAGTTCTTGGTTTTAGGGAACCGTCAGCATCATTGACGTGCACAAGGAACAGAGATCGGCCCAGTGTACTGCCTTGTGGCATCCTTGCAGAGGTGGGAAACCAATTGGAGCTGTGGTGACAGATGGTCACTTGAATTGAGCAGTCTGTGAGGTAGTTCTTGGGTGTAGTACACACTTGGGTAGTAAAGTGTTATCTTCGTATCTTGCTCTGTGCTTTTTACTGGTAATAATAATAATAGAACAGTTCGCGTACAGCCTATGGGGCAGCAATTTAGTGCTAACCTTTCCGCTTCTGTCACTTTTAAGCTCTGCTACATGAAATGGTTGTGGAAAAGGAAAAGAAAAACCCGAGAGAAATGAAAGTGCACAACCGGATAGAAGTGTGTATGGAGATGGGTGTATATATGTACCCGCATTCGTGAGCTATTTTGCGTGCAGGGAATTTGCGTGCGCATGTGGGAAACGGAGTGCAAGCACCAATAGTTACTGAGCCGCCAAAAGGCAGCGGTTACTGCTTGAACGTTAGGAACGGAGTTACTGAGGGGAGCGGAAAAAATGCAGCAGCTACTGATGGAACATGGCACGCCACTGATTTTTTGTCAGTGACAGTGGCGTGGACCTCTTCCAAGTCCCCCACACTCTTCAATGGGATGTTCCTTTCTTGGAGATCCTTGATGACCGTGGTGGCGAGTGTTGTCTTGGGTCCACCATGGTGGCCGGTAGCATCTCGCTTCAGGTAGCATGTCATAGCTCTAAAAGCAGGTGCATTGGGATCCATCCGAAGGGAGTGCCCCAGCATTTGCGTTCAGTGGCGCTTTCCAACTGCAGATATCGGTTCAGAGCTGCACCTCTTGTAAAAGGCATCATTTGTTATAATTTTATGATCTGGGTGACGAAGTCCAAGAATCCTGCCGAGCTGTTTCCTGTGGAATACGTCCAGGGATGCCGGGTTGCCCTCCTTTTCACCGTCAATGAAGTGGCAATGATAATGGACGTCCATGTTAGTTGTGCGCATATGCAAATGTACATGTGGATGCGTGTGCTGTGTGTTGTGTTAATGGGTGTGTGTATGTGTATATGCTTATGTTGTTCTGTACTTTGCAGGCTCTGGGAGGTGGCAGTGACTCTGGGCAATCAGCAATGGCCAGTGCTGGCGAAAGACAAACTTCTAGAGGGGGAACCGGAGCCACCAGAACCACCCCAGCTTCTAGTGTAAGGAGATATCGCTGAGCAAAAATTCATATTGTTTGTTATTCACCAGCTATTATACTTGACTCCCAGTGGCATTGATGGGTGGAAAAACCAATATACATGTACTGTAGAGGGAAAAATAGCATGGTAGTCAATAAGCAAGCCTGAATTAGTCACACATGTGTATGTGTGTTCGCGTATGCACGTTCTGGTTGGTCTGATTGTGGGTGTTGGTTGGTCTGATTGTGGGTGTTGGTTGTGTGGAAACACATGTGTGAGGTTTTCTCTTCATATTTTCTCTCAGTGCTTTTTACCGTCAATGAAGTGGCAATGACACTGGACGTGCATGTGTGTTGTTCGCATATGCAAATGTGCATGTGGATGCGTGTGCTGTGTGTTGTGTGCATGGGTGTGAGTGTATGTGTATATGTTTATGTTCTTCTGTACTTTACAGGCTCAGGGAAGTGGCAGTGACTCTGGATGGTCAGCAATGGCCAGTGCTAGCAGAATTCAGTCTTCTATTGCAGAAAGCAGAGCCACCAGGACCACTCCAGCTCCTAGTGTAAGGACATATGGCTGAGTAAAATATTGTTTGGTATCCACCAGCTGTTATCCTTCACTCCCAGTACGGGGACTGGTTGGAAAAACAATGTACTGTAGAGGGAAATTTTGATTTGGTAGTCAATAAACAAGCCTGTATTGGTCACAGGTGTCTGCATATGTTTGTGTATGGACGTGCTGGTTGGTGGGTAGGCGTGGTTGTGTGTGAGTGTGTTAGTGGGTGTGGAGTTTTTTCATGAAGATACAACCTACTCATAACAAGAGGGGGGTGATGTAGCAGTACAACACGGCAATGTGAAGAGTATGGGCTTCCAGAAAGAACCTGTGCTTGTGAGGCAAGCCAACAACGCCAACCTGTGGTCTCGGCGTTACAGCGAGGTTGCGCACAATGAGAGTTTACGGGTAGAGAAGTGAAGACAAAATGGAGAGTGGATTATTGTGAAGAAGAAGACAGAATTGAGCTAGAGGGGATTTTTGTGAAAGGTGAGGACGGGAGGGCAAAGATGTATGGATGGTCAGTGAATAGAGAAGCTGCGAGCATGTTCCTGGTGTCAATGATGTTGGACGACTAAGTATCTGAAGGCAATTGGGAGTAGTTGAGGGAGAGTGTTTGTAAATCGTATGGGTTACCATCGGTTTGCTGACATTGCCTTTGACTTAAAGGGGAAGCTAAGCTAAGGCTAAAATCAAGATTTCACCAGTTGTAGTCTTCGGGATGCTGAGTCGAATGGTCTTGGTTCGAGGAGGGGCTGGGACGCTCCCTTCCTACTTGAATCCCAATCGAACTCGCGCACTTCCACCGAAACTGGGTGACTGCGCCCTACTAGATGGGGATTTGTAAGCAAAATGTCACTAAAAGCGCTATTTCTTTCTTATAAAAGCACGGATGACCGCAATTGGTCCATATGTTGTAGTCGTTTGGACGTTGAGTCAACTGGTTTTGGTCCGAAAAGGCTGCGATGCAGCGTTTGGTCCTTATTCCCAATCGAACATGCTTGAACAAGCGATCACGTGCTCCTGCGTACACCAGTTACCTGGTCACCGTGCCTGCAGGGTACAACTTACAGCCTGTTTGACCTTTTTTGGCTGCAGTCCTCTCACTCGAGTTGAACTCGAGTTGAACTTTGGTGTGAAAGTTGTCGCCTGCTGGCGCTGTGCCCAGATGACTTTGGCACGCAGGAGCACGTGACCGCTTGTTCAACCATGTTCGATGGGGAATAAAGGAGGAACGCTACATCGCAGTTTCTCGGACGAAAACCAGTCGACTCAGCGTCCAAAAGACTACAACATATGGGCCAATCGCGGTCGTCCGTGCCTTTATAAGAACGAAATGGCGCTTTTAGTGACATTTTGCATACAAATCCCCATCTAGTAGGGCACAGTCACCCAGTTTCGATGGAAGTGCGCGAGTTCGATTGGGATTAAAGTAGGAAGGGAGCGTCTCAGCTTCCTCGGACTACGACCATTCGACTCAGCACCGCGAAGACAACTGGTGAAATTTTGATTTTAGCCTTAACTTCCCCTTTAAGGGCTTTAAGGGCTTAGCAGGGGCATTAAGGCAATAATGAATCATGAGTAGAGGGGACCTGGTAGGCACAGCAGCTTGTGCAGGAATGACAATGCTGCTACTGTCCGCCTTGCTTGGAGGCTCTGCAGCAGCACGCTGGGCCCCAGAATGGGCAGGGCCCATCGCAGAACGCTCCCGAGGTGCTCGAGGTTGGTGGGAGCAGCTTGCATCCAGGAACAAGTAGCCTACTCGAAAAGAGGTCTTACGAAGCCACGGAATACATCAAGCTTGCATGGACTGTTCAGGACTCGAGCTGCGTTGCACAGCAGTTCAATGTGTGAGTTCGCCCCGCTCAACTGTCCGAAGATGGGCACCAAAGCTGAGCGCGGAGTCAAGTGGCATCAAGCCCATTCCAGCTTCTAGTGTAAGGAGATATTGCTGAACAACAGTAATACTGATTCGTGTTCACCAGCTACTATACAAGACCTCCAGTACGGTCACTGGTTGGAAATACCAATATACTGCAGAAGGGAAAATAGCCTGGTAGTCAATGGGCAAGCCTGGATTAGTCGCATTTGCATGCGTATGTTCGAGTATGCGCGTGCTGGTTTTGGAGATTGTGTGGGTGTATTTAGATGTGTTTGTTGGTATTTGGGTTGGTGTAAGCACTTGTGTGAGAGGTTTTGTCTTCATATGTTTCTCTGTGCTTTTCACCGTCAATGAAGTGACAATGACAATGGACGTCCATGTGTGTTGTGCGCATATGCAACTGTGCATGTGGATGCGTGTGCTGTGTGTTGTGTGCATGGGTGGGTGTGTATGTGTATATGCTTTTGTTGTTCTGTACTTTTCAGGCTGAGGGAAGTGGCATTGACTCTGGGCGATCAGCAATAGGCAGTTTTTTCGCAAGACAAACTTCTAGAGGGGAAACCGGAGCCACCAGAACCACCCCAGCTTCTAGTGTAAGGAGATACCGCTGAACGAAATATCGAGTAGGCTTGGATGGCGAGCCAATGATTTATTTATAGTAAATAAAAGGACCAGGGAACTGCGAGTTACGCTATAATGTCCACTAACACAACTGGTTGTAGATCTTCAGTTCTTTCGGTCAGTTTTGTGCAATGTTATCGCATGAGCTGATTGTCAAGTAACTGGTGGTGTTAGTGGACATTAGCCCCGTAATTGTACTTGTAGACATCATTGCCGATGATAGGACAGTAAATGTCACGAGGTCACATACAGTTACACTGCTTGGTTAAACTCACATCTAGTCTTCAGGGCTGGTGCAGGTAGGATTGTATTAAGGTGATACAGACGGCCTGGGAGTGTGTACCCCGGCAACTACAAGTAATACTGGCTAACTAGTGCTTGCCAGAACAGCCAATCCACAAGCAAGGATCAAGAGAAATACCTGTAGAAGAAATCAATACTGTATAAGTCATGGAATCTTGTTCATTACTGTTTGTGCTTGTCGGTGTGTGGGTGTATGTGGGTGTATGTGGGTGTATGTGGGTGTGGGTGGGTGTATGGGGGGGGGGGGGGTATTTGGATGCGGGTGGGTGTATGTTTGTTCCAATCGAGAGGTTGCGGGTTCGAATCCTGACGACTATGGCCACAAACGTCTATCTTTTCCTTCTCAGACTCCTCCTGACTTTTCGTTCCTTCTCCCGGGTGGTTATCAACAGCCAGTGCATGCCGGAATATGTGGCGCAATGTGTGTGTGTGGAAAAAATTAAAATTGACCAAAAGGAAGGGATTCACTGGCCAGAAAAAAAACCACTCTGGACCATAGCTGTGTGTTGTAGACCAGGCTGAATAGTGGCGGTCAATTCATCAGCCTTGAAAGCTGTTGAATGGTGCAATCCCAGCACAAGTTGCAATAGCTTCTGCTGTAGCATCGCTTTCATCGCCTCTGGCGATGGGCGTCTAAAAGGTCAAGGCAGAGCCGCCAAGTTCTTTGTTCTTTGGTCGGGAGATCTCCCTCCAAGGGTGATAGCCAGGCGGGAGGTCGGGCGGGAGGTTTTTTTCATCTATTTTCTCCGTAAACGAAAGTTTACTGAACTGGTTTGCGTACAAACTGTCATTAAATTAGTCACGGTTGCTTTCTTGGCTTTCCGCGGCATGCCATGAAAGAAATACGATGACCCTGGATTCTTTAGGAGTAGATTGTCCATCGCCACTGTGGAGTATTATGCAGCTTGAAAGCCTTGACCAACGGCATCATCAAAGTTCAGCGGAGTGTAATCAAAGAAGCGAAGAAAGGCTGAAAGAGCTGAAAAAATGACTCGAGAGAGAGAGATGACGACTCGAGTGCAAAATATATTTGGTTGGAGGTTGCGGGTTCAATTCCCGACGATTATGGTCGCACACGTCTTTCTTCTCTTTCTCATTCTCCTAGCTCTTCTTTCATTTTCCTGGGTGGTTACCAACAGCGAGTGTATGCCGGAATATGTGGTGTGGTGTGTGTGTAAAAAAATAATAATAATAAAATGAAAAATAGGGATTCACTGGCCAGAAAAAGCAACTTCAATCAGCTGTGTGGTGGGTACCAGGCTAAAATTAGTGGCGATCAATTCATCAGCCTTGCAAGCTGTTGAATGGTGTAATCCCAACACAAGTTCCTATGTCTAACATAGCTGTTCGCTATCATCGCTTCCGCGATGGGCAGGTCTGAGGTCTGAGGTGTGTGTGCGTGTGTATGTGTGTGTGTGTGTGTGTGTATTTGTGTATGTTGGTTACCTGTCACTATTCATGTTCTGCCCTGTTGACATGTGTAGGTTGGTGACAGTTCTAGACAGTACTCTGCAGCACCCGCCCCACGTTCTCTGACTCTCACACCGGACAAGACTCGGCGCATCACAAGGGGGAGAAAGGTACGTTATAACGTGTTTGGAATTTTTCTCTTCCTCTGTCGCACCACATATACTGGCACACACAGAGACATAGACGGCAATAGCGGCAACACACAAAGTGAAGGGAAGTTGGCCGTAGCCAGATGGGACCCGAGTGAGGTATGGAAGCAAGGACTGAGAACAGAGTGTCTCAGATAGAATAGGCATGCCAGCGGATAGCAGAAATAGGCCACGATGCAGAATCACTTGGGACCGTCAGATTAATTTTCCTGGACCGATCCAGCCGGGGAAAAAACCCTCGCACCGACGGACGCAGTAGTGAGGGAAAAAAAACGGGTGTAAATTCCCAGTGTCGATTAGGCATCATGTAGGCGTGGCAAGCACATCACGGCAAAAAGTGATAAAAAGCAATGATAGGATGCGCAGAAATGAAGGGTGGGAGGGCAGGGACACTGGTGAGACTCAAAACTGACTGAAGAAGTCAGAAAAAGCAATGATAGGATGCACAGAAATGAAGGGTGGGAGGGCAGGGACACTGGTGAGACTCAAAACTGACTGAAGAAGTCAGAAAAAGCAATGATAGGATGCACAGAAATGAAGGGTGGGAGGGCAGGGACACTGGTGAGACTCAAAACTGACTGA